AAGGGATGCCAATACGTATCACTTCCTGTAATTTAAACTGTGTCCCGGAAGTTAGTCTCTCTAAAAGTACAATTTTTAGTTACGATTTTGTCTTTTTTAAAAAATTCTATCTAGGGCCGGGGATTTACCTCAGTGATTCTGCGCCAGCCTTGCAAGCGCAAGAGCCGGATGGTACCAACAAAACAAATCTATTCTCTCCTACTTGACATCCTTTGAAAGAATAACTCCTCCTTGACTTCATTCTCATTCCCTTACTGCCAGACTCCCTAAAAAGCAGGCCACCCCAACATTGCTCTTGCCTTGTCCCATCCGGTCCTCAGCCCTGTTGGACCAGCTCTGCCGCACTACCCGAGATCAGCTGCCAGATCTGAAGGGCCTTCCAGCCCATCTCGGTCCAGCACCATTCACTGTAAGGTTCCTCGGTGCCGCCTCTCCTCCAGCTGCACGACACCCTTGTTCACCTTATTCAGCTGCTGTTACCGCTGTGAGGTCAGCTGTCACCTGTGCTGAGCCCAACCTGTACCTGTGGGACCCAGGCCCACTTCCTGATTCCCTGGTCCCCACAGCTCAAGTGGCTTGCAGCCCCTGGAACTCCGAGTACCTCAGGCTGGTGTGGACCACTGAGCTCTTCTCTTGTCCCTTCTGATTCCCACCTTTACCTGGGGCAGAGGGGACCTCTGGCCCCATGTGCTGGGCGTAGGCCAGCTTCACCTTTTTTTTTTTTCCTGTACCAGGGATCAAACTCAGCACTTGCGAGGCAGGTGGCAGACCCCCGACCCCATCTTCACCTCTTGTTTGCCCTCCTCCAGACCCTGCATCCGGGCAGTGATGTTGAGGGAGTGGAGACCCTCTGTTATGTTTTAGATATAATACGTCCCCAGAAGCCTCAGATACAGAAGTTACTGGATTGTGGGTGTGTTATACTCGTTAGTAGTTTCATCAATGTATGAGTTCCTGGCTGAATGTTCTCTTAGGAGGCGAGGCCTGTTTGGAAACAGGGCACTGTGGACATGGTCTGGAAGGGTGTGTTCTTCTCCTCCCTTCTGTTTCCTGGCTGCCGTGGGTTGAGCAGCTCTCCTCTGCTACGCCGTTTCTGCCTTGGAACCAGCTGACCATGGACTGAATCCTCTGAAATGCGGCCAAAGTGAACCTCTTCTCCTCCAAGTCGCAGGCGTCAGTGATTGGAAAGTGACCCATATACCCTCACTGTGATGCTCTTTCCACCCCACTGCTGTGCTGGGCCCCATCATTTCTGGGCCTTTGTTTTCCTTCCTACGCATCACACAGAGACTGCTGTTCTTCCCCGCACCCACTCCAACCTGGCTGACCCACCGGAAGCCTTGCCTTAGCTTGTGCTTGCCCTTTTACTCTTGCAGTATCTCATAAGGGTCAGAGAGATGCACTTGAATAACAACACATTTTCACACATTGGGTATTTTATGTGTATGTGCGCATGAACATTGGTAGAAACAAGTCACAATCTGTACAATCTATTACTCAGTAGTTTCATAACATCTGGTCCAGAAGTGGGACTTCATAACTAATGAAAGTCTAAAATAAAAGGAAGGGGATGGCTTCTGAGAAGCTGAAGATTTTCCTAAAACTCCTCTAGCCTGTCATGGGCTGAATGCATCTCCCTAAAATCCATACAGTGAAGTTCTGTATTTGGAAGTAGGGACTTTGAAGAGAAGAATTTAAATGAAGTCGGCAGGAGCTCTGTGCCTATGAAAAGATGCCAGACCTGTGTGTGTTCACAGCTGTCTAGGTGAGGAAGCACTCAGGAGAAACCCTACCTGGGGACACCTTGGTGTTCTCCTGAGGGTAGATTTTTATCTAGGGTTCATTAAAAAATAAAAAACCTACATCAGAATTACAGATATAAGCACAGAAGAAAGCAAAATGACTTTATTGGAAAGGGGGAGAGAAATGACAGACAGCTACCTTGTCAGATAAGGTAGGGAGTCTGGAGACAGAACCCAGAGTCTTTGCGTTTAGCCCCTATTACTGCCTGGCGGGAGAGGGACCCTCCTCCCTGAGAGTTGTAACTTGATTGCAGATTTGAGGCTCTGAGACCCCGATTCGGCCATTTCCCATCTGCATTTCTGGATGAACACTGCTGTGGTCCCTTTGCACTGTCAGGGCCTCATCTTGTGAGGTTACTGCACAGCCCCACATTCAAGGACAGGTTAGCAAAAAGAGACACACGCACATTTTAGTGTGCTGATAGGGTGTACTTATGTATAGGTGTGTGGGTGTCTAGTGTTAGTGTCTATACACTGAGGTTTGTGTGTGTGTTTTTTAATAACACAGCCTCCTCCCTACTTTGTTTCTTTTGTGTTTAATTAGAGGTGGAGGGAGGAGGGAATGGAGCCTTGGCATGGAGCAAGGCTGCTTATCAGCTCTCTCCAGTTTGTTGTCTTAGCCACTCTTTCTAGCTCAGGCTTAACTCTTTATTGCTGGAAACCTCACCCAAGCCCTTTAACTTTTCCTGCTTGACCCCTCCTTGCCCCCCAACTTCCCTACGCCTTGATCTTGGACCTCCAGTTTCCAGACTGAGAGAGAGCAAATGTCTGCTTCAGTGGCCCAGGGCATTTCGATTTTGTCATGGTAACCGGGCCTCATACAAAACCTCAGACCAAAGGACCCTGCGTGCATGTGTGCGTGGGTGCGCAGGGCCTCATGCGTACTGGGAAGCAGGCATTTGTGTGTGGTGGGGGGAGCGTGCATGGTGACAGGGATCGAACCCAGGACTTTGAACTGAGCTACATCCCAGCCCTTTTTTAAAATTTTTATTTATTTTTTGGTTTTTTGAGACAGGGTCTCACTAGGTAGTTGAGACTGACTGACCTGGAACTCACTACGTAGCCCAGGCTGGTCTTGAACTCACAGGGATCCTCCTGCCTCAGCCTCCTGAGTGCTGGGATTACAGGCATGCGCCACCACGCCTGGCCTTTTTTATTTTTGAGACAGGTCTTGCTAAATTGCCCAGGCTGGGTTCAAGCTTGTGTGCGAGCCACCAAGTCAGTCCCCCAGAGTGCAACACACCGCCTGATCTGGCACTTTGTTCAAGGTACAACCATGTAAAATGTCTAAAGATATGAGGAGGAAATCTGTAGGGATTTCAATACAGGAAGAGAAAGGGATTTAGATTAAGTACAGGGGAGGGTGTTGATTCTACTCACAGACAAGGCTGAAAAGAGGAAAGGCCTAAGCGCATAGGGGCCAGAGTGCCCAGAGGTGACTGATTCACAGAGAAGTGTTTGGGCCATGGATCAGGCTGCATAACCACTCTGTGCTCCGAGGCACAGTAAGGGGGACAGAGGTCCCACAGCAAGACTATGTTTAGGAGACGCCAGGCAGATCGCAGAAAAAGCTTGCTTTGCCATGGAGATTTCTTGGAACCTTTACAAACTCCATGAAGCTTCTGGCAGGTGAGAGAGCATGCAGCACTTCTCACTTATCCTACCCTGCACTCCTCCGTGAGGCGCGCTGGTCATGATGCCTTCTTGCACCACCTTTCTGGAGCTGTCAGAACACAGGCAACTTGGCTACCTTGAAGGAATCCCCCTAATGCTGTAGTTGATGTGAGTCAGGACTTGGTAATACTTATGCAGCTGCAATGCCCCAAGGAGGAGCTGTGATGTAGTGGCTGAGAAGTATGTGGCTGTTAGAAACTGAGTGCTTGTGTCCCTGCCACACTCAAATGTTAAAACCGTAGTCCACAGTGTGAGGGCATTTGGAGATGGAGCCTTTGGGAGGTGACGAGGTATAAATGAGGTTATGAGATGTTCCCACAAGATTATTGTCTTTACAAGAAGAGAAAGCAAGCCATCATGACACATCCTCACTCTGGGAGGCTGAGGCAGGAGGATCTCTAGTTTGAACCTAAACCGGGCAAATTAGACCCTGTCTCAAGAAAGAGGGCCAGGGATTTAGCTCAGTGGCGCTGCTGCCTACCTCGAAAGTGCATGGTCTAGAGTTCAATCCCCAGTATCACCAACAACAAAAAATAAATAAATAAAAATAAAACCCCAAAATAGAAAAAGCCTAGGGATATAGCTCCGTGTGAAGACTAGAATCAAAGAACAAGAAAGATACCAGTGCCCTCCTCCCCCAGGGGCAGTCCCAGTGAGGGCGCCATGTGGAAGTCACGAATGGGGGCACTCTTCAAATAAGTGCCCCGGGGCTCGTGGACATCCAGTTTCTAGAGCTGTGAGAAGCTCACAGTCTGAGGTGCCTTGTTACAGCAGCCCAAGATCGGGCAGTGGCTCTGGATCTCGTTGACTGATCTCGGCCTCCTCAGCCTCACCAGACCTCAGGTCCCTTCTGTGGCTCAGGTGGACTCATCAGGCCACCTGTTGTGAATCAGATCTCACATGGCCGCAGTCTCAGGTGGTCAAAGTCAGGACTTGAGGAGACTGGACGATGGGGACGCCAGACTCACCCACTGACAAGCTCTCAGCTGACTGTGCTCCCAGGAAGTGGGGCCTGATTAAAAGTGGTCACTGGGAGCATGACCTGGAAGGGTGCTCTTTTTGGTACTGGGGATTGCATTTGGGTCCTTGCACTTGAGAGGTAGGCAGCAGCACCACTGAGCTAAATCCCCAGTCCTGGAAGGGGGTATTCTTGTCCCCCGTTTCTCCCCTTCTCTCGCTTCCTAGCTGTGATGGGGTGAACAGCTTACTTCCACCAGGCCGTTTCTGCCTCGAAGCCAACTAACCACGGACTGAGCCAAAACAAACCTCTCCTTTAAGTTGCAGGCATCAGGTATTTTGTTCCAGGGATGAGAAAGTGACGGATACACCAACCCAGCAAGCCCAATGAGGCCACTTTCATGATCTTCTCAGTCATTTGCAATTTAAGATCCTCTCCTGGACAAGGGGTGTAGCTAGCTAGTGGGAGAGAGCTTGCCTACCAGAAGCGAGGTCCTGGGTTTGATCCCCAGTCACTCACACACACACACACACACACCCTTTCTGGCTAAATGAAGACAACACAGAAAATGACAAAGAGCTTTATTTTTAGGTCGCTGTCCTGGTTTCATCTAGCTATTGCCAACAACCTGATGTGCTGTTTGTATCTTGATTCCTGAATCGTTCAATCGTTCAACAGTCAACAGCCAGAAACACAGCTGCTAAAGGAGTAAACAAGTAGCTTTTCTCGGAAGGCGGCTCACCTGTCCGCCCCTGAGTCTCCATGTGGAGGGAAGGAACCAGGCAGGAGGCTGACCCACACCCTTGCCTGCTGCTTTGTCCTCTTCCCTGGATCTCTCCAGGGGAGCAAGGGAAGAAAATTTTGTTTTTCTATTCTTCAAAAGAGAAGGCCTTCAAATCAACCAAAGTTTCCCGAACAAAAGACTTGAAAAGCAACACTGGGAGCACAGCAGGTGTTCTCTTCCAGGCCCCTGCCATGTCCCTTCACTGACACCTTCGCCATGTTAGAATGAGGGAGCATTACTGCAGCTAGAAAAGGGAAGCATCTACCATCGAGCAATCCATGCCTCACACACCACTCCAGTGAGAAGGGAAACACCACCCGCACCTCTGGCCCACTCCTCCTCCGTACCACTCCGAGTCCCTGTCCACACCCTAGGGATCGCAGTCCCCAGAGGCCAAGACCACGAAGCAGGGCCCTGGTGACTTAGGACTGGAGCTGCTGCGGCTCCTCAGGTGGCAGCCGGGGCTGGCACTGCGGGCACCACCAGGTGAGCCTCTGGAGGCCACCGGGGGGCCCAAAGGCCTCCTTCAGGACCTGGTGCCCTGCTGGACACTGCTCCTTCTGGTAGACCTGCGTGTGCTGCTGCTGGCCCTGGAACTTGCCCTGAAGCCAGTCTGCACTGAACTCTACCACGTGATCCACGAGGGTCTCCAGGGACGGGGCACTCAGGAGCGAGCCAAGAGACAGGGGGTGGATCCGGGCTCTGTACAAGGCTTCGTTCTTAATGATGTTCCCTGAAACAAAGCCGGGAGAGCATGAGGGAAGGGAAACACACACTCAGCATGATGAAACCACAAAAAGTCGACAGCAAACGGGTTGGCAAGATGGCGGCAGGCGGACACCTGGGAGGCCCCGATTCAGTCACATGCCGGGGCTCCTGGGCAGGGCAGCAGGATCGGACCCCATTCTCTTTAAAGGGGCCCTGAAGGGTGCTGTGAGGATGAGATGGACGAGCACCCCCACGTAGCTCAGGTCGTGGCACAGAGGACGCGCAGGGCTCTTGTGCCTGACTGCCCGGACTAGATCCCCAACTGGGCCCCAACTCCTACCACATAGCCCCAGCCAGCCCCCAGCGTCAGACAGGGACCACCCTGGTTTCTGTGAGTAGTGAGCAAGAATTCACCAAAACATGCTCAACATGCACTGACGGCTGTGTAAAGTGCCAGGCGTGCTGCCTGGAACACGCAGGGGTTTGGTCTACACCTGCTGCTCTCTCGGTGGGAACGCCCGGATCCCTTCCTCCAGAATCAGCTCTCTCCAAAACGTTCCTGCATCGCTGTCTGGCTGTCTGTACCCTCCCAGCACCTCCACAATCTCCCCTCGCCTGCAGAGGACCCAGCAGGCCTGCTGAGGGCAGGCGAGGGGCTGCAGCGTTCCCACAGTTGCTCCGACGGACGAATGCAACGACTGCTCTTTGCAAGAGTCCCGCGAACACGCTCCCCATTACACACAAAATTCCTCTGCGAAACTCACAGGCGGGCTGCCTGGATTCAGCCCAGTGGCAGCACTGTACACTGATTCTCTCTGACTAATGGGCAGCTAACAAGCGCCCACCCTGGGAATGGCGGTGAGGGAGGCTCGGGAGCCTGACACTGGCCTCTCTGCCAAGGTCACTGTGCCCTCATCACCGCTGCTCGGAAGCCTCCCGCTCCTCCAGCAGAGGATTCCAAGGTTCAGGTGAAAACACACAGCCTGCACTGCAGAGCCAGGCCCTCAGGGGCAGCTACGCCTGCAGCGCAGCTGACTGCTGCACATGGAGGGGATTCTGTCCTTACCCTGTGTTTGGCCCACCCTGCTGCTTCAGCTACCAATCATGGGTGCGTATAGCTCTATGCTGCAGTAAAAAGAGCGGCTTTTTTTCAGTCTGAGGATTGAAGCTGGATCCTTTGCTGTGACCTGTATACATCCTCAACCCTTCTTAATTATTTTGAGAAGGGTCACCCTAAGTCACTTAGTTGCCCAGGTTAGGCTTGAGCTTGCAATCCTCCTGCCTCAGCCTACCAAATTGCAGGGATTCCAGGCGTGCACCACCACACCCAGTTTCACACCTGTCTTCACCCACAGCTTTTAAAAGCCCAAGACGGGCCGGTGCCCGTCTGTGTACTCCCAGCATCACCCATTAACAAAGCTGCCCCTCTGTCCGTGAGTGGCAGGACTCCATTTCTCGGCAGACCCTGGCTCCACACCTCCTACGTGCCAGGCACTGCAGCGGGCAGTGGAGGATACCAGGGTACACAGCCACCCCCCCCCGTCAGGGTCATGCTTCAAGGCAGCTATCAGGTTTCCAATGGAAGTGGTAGGAAATCTGAAGCTGACAGGGAAGTTAGAAGGTGCCTAATTTATCTCAGTTTAAAAGCAAAGGAAGTAGTTGAGCGTGGTGGTGCACGCCTATAATCCCAGCTACACAGGAGGCTGAGGCAGGAGAATCACAAATACAAGGCCAGCCTAGGCAACTCAGGGAGACCCTGCCTCAAAAACAAAAAGTGTTGGGGATGTAGCTTCGTATTCCCTGGATTCATTCCCCGGTACCACTAAATAAATAACGAGATAATTTTTTTTTTTTGGAACTGGCGATCTAACCCAAGTCCTTGCACTTGCGAGGCAGGTGGTGGAACCACTAAAGTAAATCCCCCAGCCCACGAGATAAATTTTTAAAAAAAGGGAATCAAAGGGACTAGGTGGCAACCTCAAGACCAGCAGCACTGCACAGCGGGGCTGGGGCAGGCAGGTCCTCAGGTCGAGACTCCCAGACGAGTGAATTTCCCATCAACAGCTCCACCAGGCTTATCCCTCCCCGCTGCTCCTACCTAACCCCGAGAAGTATCGCTGGTCCAGCAGCGTGTAGCACACAGGCTGCGGCCGACCCAGAGCCTCCAAGGCCTGTCCTCGGTGGAACTCTTCAGACAGTATGTCACAGCGGGGTTCTATCGTTGGCGCAGGGCTCCAAGACATCTGACAATTATAGAACACCAGGAATCCACCTCTGCCAAAGTGCAGGACCAGCCTGGGGAGAAAGGAGAGATCACAGGGCCGTACAGCTGTCACCATCCAGGCAGACCACAAGCACACAGCCGCCACTGTGCAGCCAGGTCCCAGGGACACACAGCTCCCATTCACACCCAGGCAGTGCCAGGTCCAGCTCCGGCAGCGCCACTCTGATCACCCTGGGAAGCTAAGGTCCCCAAGAGAAGACAGATGGGCTTTGACAGAATCAAAAACACCTCAGGGCTAAGTGCAGCAACCAAGAGAAAGCACACGTGTACCTATTCATTCCTTTCCCTGACTACAGCACTGCGTTTACACATGAACACCGGCAAGTGCACAAGCCCAGTGTTCAGGGTGCGAGGGCCACACGCACAAAGGCAGAGGTGGGGCCGCTGGTGTGGAAGACAGAAGGACACAGCACCACGGGCTCAGGAAGGGTTAACCCAGAAGACACGCCTACTCCCCAGCTGCCACCTAACCCAAGGACAGCAGGAAGCTCCTGAACCCTGACCGAGGAACAGCGCAACAGTGGAGCTGCGGACCTGACAGGAATGCCCTCCACATCTGGAGAAGTCAGGGCCCGCAGGGTCCCAGTGGGACCTCAGCACACTCAGCAACAGGGTGGACACGACGGAAGAGAGCTCGCCGGAGAGGTGGGGGAGACAGCGAAGGAGCCTGAATTTGATGTCATTAGGAAATTCCATTTGACCCAGCTATTCCCCTGCCAGGAATCTTCCTGAACTAAAGACATCACATTACAATGATACTGATTTTAAAATCTGATGGCTATTCGCTAGTAGAAAATACATAAGTTTAAGGATAATTACTAGCAGAATGAAGGTGAAAAGTCATCCAAATTAGCAGGGGTAGAAAAAATAAGAAATTTAATAAATCCAACTGAAATAAGAAAAAGAAAGTACAATAAATGGCTCAGGGAACAAAACCCTGATGCCAGTGGTTACATTTCAGAACAGAGTTTCCGTCTGAGTCAAAGAGAAACAAAAGCCATCAAATTCTCAGTTTATACCTAAAATAAAGGAAAATGAAGTGTAAAAACATGCAGCAAACTAAGCATAAACACTCCTCCCTACCCCGACTTGAGGGGCACAGAAGCATCAGGAGAGGCCGTGGAGCAGTCTGGTTCACAGCCAGAAGTGCTCAGGAACGCGGGCAGACACACACAAACCCACCACTCTGGGGGCCTCCGACCCTCCTCGTCCGGAGTTTGACACGGTAAGTAAACGGAAAGCAAGCAAAGACAACTGCTCTGTTCCCGCTGTTCACAGACTGTTCTGGTCTTAATGGTCACAGGTTTCACAGAGGTAAAATTTGACCAGAGACCCACGCTGTGTTTGGCAGCAAACCCTGACAGACACCAAATGGTGAAAAGGCATAGGCTGTGGTCTCTGACTAAAACCCAGGAACAGTTATAAAACTAACAACAACAACAACAAAAATAGTGCCAAAATGCTTGGCTAGTACGAAATAGGACTCCGTGCAGAAAAAGTACATTAAGCTGGTAGTGTTATTTACTTGAAAGACTAGAGGAGATAAACTCAGGGGAGCCTCATAAAGAAATGAGGGGCTGCAAACTCTAAAATGGGGGAAATGAGAATAGAAACAATGTAACAAGAGGTTTAAAAAGCAGGGAATGATAAGCTGACAACCTCCACCTGTGAACGCGGGAGCCACAGGCCGGACGGTTCCTCCAGCCAGTGACCATCTGCGATTCAGGCGAGGCTTGCTGGGAACTCAGAAGGTCACTCACACTGCCCATGAGGAGATCTACTTAGAGGGCACTGGGGTTAAACCAAGAGCTTGCACACTGAGCTACATCCCTAGCCTCCTTTTTAAAAAATATTTTTTGAGACAGGGTCTCGCTAAGTTGCTAAATTGCCCAGGCTGGGCTTGAACTTGCAGTCTTCCTGCCTCAGCCTTCCAGAGTGCTGGGATTACAGGAATGCACAGCCATACCTAGCCAGAACATCTAAAATTGACTCTCTTCTCCTCTGGTTATTTTCCTGGGTGGCTGGGTATAAAGCTTGGAACTGCAGTCACCTCCTGATGCTGATGGAAGGACAAAACTGAAGTGGGGGAGAGCACAAAGCCAGGAGTCCCAGGAACAGGAAGCCAGAGCCCAGGAGCCCCCAGCCCCAAAGCCACCTTAGCCAACCTTCAGGGAGGGTCTGCACAGCCAGGCATCCTGGGGCCCTACACCATCCACAGGAACGAATGGAATTCCAAACACTTCCTACAGAAAGAGGCTAATACCTTAGGAAAGAGAAGTCCTGTGACTCTGGGTTCAAAGCCTATTCAGTAAAAGGCAAAACTTACCAGTGAGCAAGAAAAAGCAGACCATTGACTATGAGAAAATTAAAAAATCTCAAATTCCCAAGCATGGAGGTTACCCTACTTAATTCCCAAAAGCTTCAACACACTGATTAAAAGTCCCATGGGCCGGGATTTAGCTCCATGGTGCTACTGCCTGCCTCGCATGTTCAAGGTCCTGAGTTCCATCCCTGGTACCAAAAAAAAACGGTCCCGAGTGGCCCAGTGCTGGTGAGAACTCAGGTGAGCCAAGGCTTTTGAGCTTCAGAGTATTCTCACCGCCTGAAAGTAACCCTAAGGAAACAACCCTCAACACAGGGCTCCACACACGCAGACGGTTCTCAACATCCACGGATTAAAAGGCAGGCAAAGTCTCTGTGTTTAAACCTCTGGTGCTGTCTGGGATGGAGTCACCCTCCCTGAGCTCCCGATTTTCCATCCCGCCTCATGTGGCCAGTCCGCCCCCTATTATGGGTGAGCAGCACCGCAGACCAGACACCCAGTGTGACCCCAGCCCAGGGCCACGCCCGCCCACGGGGGCATCACAAAGACCCAGCAGCCTGCTCTACCTGGGCACGGGATCCCGCCAGTCTCCCCTCTTGTTGGCTTTCTTCGCTCTGGAGAACTCGTTCACCCAGACGCTGCCAAACAAACCAAAGCGGACCTGCAGCCACCTTGGGGCCCCTGCTGCGGGGCTGTCCTGCTCCAGGCCACCAGGAACAACGGGGCCCCCAGGAAGCAGCTCCATGGGCTGGGGGGACCCGTCACAGGCCTTCTGGGCGCTGGGCGCTGGTGCTGGGCCCACAGCCGTTTCTCTCCGCCTTCCTTTCTGCCCAGGCTGCGGCAGAGGGCTGTTGTCAGGAGCCCCGACTTCTTCATCTGCATCAAATCTGAGGAATAGTTTCTTTCCCTGTACCTAGGGAAAAATGAACATGAGGGTAAGCCAGCCAGGTCCATGTGGGCCGAGAGCTGGGCAGACAGGCACCCGACTGCCTCTGCCCCCTTCTCCGGCCCGGAGCATCCTGGACTGAGGGTCCGGGCCCCGCCTCCGCTCACCTGCTGCGGGGAACTAGGCACATGCCTGTGCAGTGACGAGAAGCAACTGGAGAACACGATTAGCAGGAGACCTAAGCCCAACAGATGCCACCCCCGAGAACCTAGGCACCTGCTTGCCAGTGTCTTCCGGGATCAGCCAAGAAATAACTCTGAGCTGCCATTCACTTACTCAACTCATGCTACATTTTCTATGCTAACGGGAGTCAGCACGAGTGCACACATGCAAAATGACTGCAGCCAAAGACAACACACTTCAAGATCAGCTGTCCACCCCTCTAGAACCCCTCTAGAAAACCGAGTTTGGCAGAAGGAAGAGGCATGAGGGAGTTCACAGTCAAACACAACCTCCATGCAGTGACACTCAGTGCCAGCTTTGTGCCAGCACTGTGACAGACAGGGCCCTAATCCTGCCCCTGCAGATCCTACGCCGAAGGCTGGGAGACGAGGGCTCCTAAACTCGAGTTCTCTAGGCCTTAGATTCCAAACATCCCAGCTATGGTCAAGTCTTTGAGACCTCACCCAGTTGTAACAGAGAATGGCTTTATGCCTACGGGGGTCAGGGCGAGGCGGAAGAGCACGGACTGAGTGCAGTCTGTGTGTCAAGCATGAGGTCTACTTCCCACAGCAGTTTCCACAGGCGGCCAACTTACTGTACAAAGATTGCAAGGCTAAGCAACTGCACACTGCGAAGCAGCACCAGAGTCCACAGAGACACCCCGGGCCTCCCACATTCCCAGTGCTCCCAGAAGCACTGGCGACACAAGGCAGCCGAGCATACAGCCACTCACAGAGCAAATCCAGCAGTCAGGGATGCATGGAGGGACCAAGGGGCCATCCTGGAAGCACAGGATAAGCCAGCTGGACAGAATCCAGAGATGGACTAGGACCTGCCACAGAAAACCATGGGGCAGGGGTGGGGGGACAAAGGCAGACCAGTCACACCAGGAGCAGCATGTGGCCACCACGGGCAAGGACCATCTGGGCTGCCCGTGGCTGGGACAATGGAAGTCAGACTGGGGCTGGGCACAGAGGCTAGAAGAGCAGGCAGGCTCAGGCCAGAGAGGCCTGAAAGCCCCTGGAAGGATGAGTGGATTTGAACTCAGATCCACAATGCTCTTTCCTTGCTTCCCCACTGGCCTGGAAGCAAACACGGATTGTGGTGTGAGGTGCCCATGAGTTACAGCTGGGGTGGTCAGGATTCCCAGCTCATAATCTCCACCACGATGCCCACTTCCTACTGGGAAACATTAGACTGAAAGACCAAGAGCTGCAAGGATCTCAGCGTGGCTGTCCTGGGCTCACGGAAAGGACAGCATGAGACACCTTGGGACAGATTCCAGGGGCATCCCATCGCCAGATGGTGCTGAACTCACCTGCGTGTCCTTAAGCCACAGGGACTGCAGTGTGGCAGGACACAGCTTTTTACTGCTGCCCCCCGTCCTGACCACCTGCTGGCCCACAAAGGCAGAGACCAGGTGGTGAAACTTCCTCACAGACGGCCCTTCTGGCATAGCTGTGGAGAAACGGGCAAAGGAGGGCACAAATTACCCTTTCTGACGGTGCCAAGCTGCAAGCAGCCGTTTTTGGCACCAACTTTAAGAGTACACATGGCCACGCCAGGTGTAAGGACACACACCTGTAATCCCAGTTACTCGAGAGTCTGAGGCAGGAGGATCAGGAGTTTGAGGCCAGCCAGCCTCAGGAGAACGCATCCTGTCCAGCCCTGCCGCCTTCATCCACAGTGTATCAGGTGCCACAAGGCCACTGCCCACCTCGGCAACCACCGTGGGAGGCGGCCCTGGTTAGCTCTGGCCAGGCCTGGGCTCTTCCACGCTTTCCGTCCTCCGAGCACTTACCGTACCCCTCGGCTGGGGACACACCGACCCGACCCGGCCGGTTCTGCGCAGGAAGGGCAGGTCCAGCGGCCCCTTTCAGGGCCACGCTGGGCGAACCGCG